GTTATTGTAAGTCAACCGTAAGAGATAGAGATATGCTATCGCGGACTTTTTTGTAGCATTTTTATAGATTTTGAATTCTCTAGTACATTACTTAACTGTATCTTTGCTAGTTTACGCGGCGTTCGCGTGGAAAGTTCCCATTTGGCGAGATTTTTTGCGACCTCTTCAACATTTGTCGCCGTATTTCAGCTAATTTACATAAAAGCATAATAAATTATATACCTAAACCTTCCTCAAGAATTACTCTTTCTATTGTTGAAAACCGTATAAAAATCCGTTCAGTAGTTTTCGAGTTTATCGCGTACAGACAGACAGGAGGACAGACAGGAGGACAGAAAGACGCGGCCGGGGGACTTATTTTTATAATAAGTATAGATAATATAGAGTACATGATAATGACAACCATAAAAATACGACGAAATAACCATATAAAATACTATTACTTAAGTTTCAAATTCAGGGAAAATAGCAATATTATTGGCTCTACTGAATATAAGCGGTCGTTCACTCAGCTTTAGAGTAACTGTCTCGGAGGCGATGTGTCTTGTCAGTGAGAAACGGCCAGACTTAAGAGCGCTTATCGAAAAATTTTGTCGCTACAGAAATTCGAATTGTTTCATAAACAAAAGCGAAACAAGATAGTATAAAATAATTGGAATATTTATATCATCTACAATAACAAATATGTTTTTGTATTGTAAATACTAAATATAAATATACATAAAAGTAATTTAAGTATGTATTGAAAGAGATAAACTGAAGCATGAATTTATCGTATTAAAGCAAAAATTATCGTTATCACGTATGATAAATGTTAATTTTATCAATTTATGTACTATGTATCATCAAGTAACAATTTTTTGTTATTAACAGAATTTAGTTCCAACAGTGTTTATTTTTAATATTTCGTATATTTTATAAGTAATAAATTAATATAAAATTGAAAGAATGTAACTGTAATAGTAGGGAATAATGATATTTAAACCATATTTTGAGGTTATAAAACGGCAATGTTTATTCTGTCAGAGAAAATTTTCGATATTTTGAATCTAAACTCGCATTAGTACAAATATAAATAATAATATAGTCTCAAACGTTTTGCTTGACTGTGAAGTATAAACAACTTTAATAAGGTACAAATATAAAATTGTGCATTTTAATAATTGACGAAATAATATATCGTAGAAAATGTAGTGAATTAAATGCAGAAATAGTTATACTTAGGTATAGGTATGTAGAGAGTGATACATTTACGCAACATGCCAACGTCACTTCACTCTATCAATGTAAATTCGGCATAGCTAGAGGTACATGAGTAAGTAAGAGACTACACGGTTAGCACTTTACCCAATTTTGTGAACTAGCAAGTTTACTCTATCCATTTTATAGTGATGTAGGAGGGAGCTCTTGTAAAACTCTAACGGTACGTTTGCTATAAAGCCAATTTATACACATAATAAAGTAGCAGTGTCGAGTTATCCATTTCATAATGTTATGTTGGAAATATATTTAGGATTTAGTTTTAGGAGAGTCAGTTAGAAAAGTTTTATATAGATTGCAATATTCTACAATATGAGGATCATATTTTGTGATTGTGAATTGAATAAAAATAAACGAGAAAAGATTTAGGTATAGTATTTTAAGAGAATGTAATATATATAATATTTGGGTGATGTCATCGTGAAAATAAAAATGACATGAAAAATCTATACTTAAAATAAAAATCTGAGTCGAATCTGTACATTTAATATTTTTTTGGAAAATCTTATTGATGTAGTCATTATTATGTATACAGAGGTCGAACCTATAGTTTTTAGAATTTTTGTCAGTCTGTCTGTTTGTGACCGCATCACGAGAAAACCACTAGACAGATTTTGATAAAATTTAGTATGATGATGATACTTGGTTATCCGGGGTTACTTTTTACTCGGAGAAAATATCTTCATATCTGAGAAATCTATACTAAACGTTAAATCGTAACTAGGGATGAACCCGAGCGGAACTACTAGCTAGTAACATAATAAAAACTAAAATGTATATATCTTCAGTGTATATAGGTATACATATACCATACCTATGTCCTTGTCTAGCTTATTTTTTGATAAATGAAATATGTAAGTCATACAAAATTTAATTGGCGTTATTCTAGTTATTGAAAGTTATATGAAAAAAATAAACGGATTGTTGTAACTATTCCTAAATATATTATTCATGTTGTGGAATAACACGAAACAGAATAATTAAAAAAAAACTGGTTAGTCGTATGTTACGTAGATTGTCGCATAAATCTACAAAGTGTCTACGTGTAAATATTATCATTCAAATGTATTTTTAGTTTTATTTTTTATTTTAGTACATATTGTGTTATGTACTTCTTTACATATTATATATTATTTAATTAAATTGGTTTATTTATAGCTCAATTAATTTTAATTACCATAACTAGCGACTTCACGTCGCGACTCGCGACGCGTCTTCTTCGTTCGGGTGCGCGCCTAGGTATGTTTTAAATACATAAAAATAGTTATTGCAAATGTACCTTAAGAGATTACGTAGATTGTCGCATAAATCTACAAAGTGTCTACGTGTAAATATTATCATTCAAATGTATTTTTAGTTTTATTTTTTATTTTAGTACATATTGTGTTATGTACTTCTTTACATATTATATATTATTTAATTAAATTGGTTTATTTATAGCTCAATTAATTTTAATTACCATAACTAGCGACTTCACGTCGCGACTCGCGACGCGTCTTCTTCGTTCGGGTGCGCGCCTAGGTATGTTTTAAATACATAAAAATAGTTATTGCAAATGTACCTTAAGAGATTACGTAGATTGTCGCATAAATCTACAAAGTGTCTACGTGTAAATATTATCATTCAAATGTATTTTTAGTTTTATTTTTTATTTTAGTACATATTGTGTTATGTACTTCTTTACATATTATATATTATTTAATTAAATTGGTTTATTTATAGCTCAATTAATTTTAATTAGCATAACTAGCGACTTCACGTCGCGACTCGCGACGCGTCTTCTTCGTTCGGGTGCGCGCCTAGGTATGTTTTAAATACATAAAAATAGTTATTGCAAATGTACCTTAAGAGATAGACATATGCTATTGTGAACTTTGCTATAGGTCTTTTTAAAATCTACAATTTTCTAGTAAATTATTTTGATGTATCTCTTAAGATATAATAATAAGAAACAGTAACTGCTGCTAATTTTTGAATTTGGACTATTATATTAGTCGTACTCGTGTAAATTCACATAAATATTGCAAGGTCTAAAAACCAATGCTTAAAGAAGATTTGATTGAACTTTCGAAGATATTGTTAATATTCTGCTAAGCTTATTTTACCACATATTTTTATACGAAAAAGCTTTTTTAAAATATTTAAATACCTTTGTAAAGTAACAGTTTATTATTTGTGACGAGTTATTAAATATATTTTGTTGTTTTAGAGAGATGAAAAAAATGGTAAAAAACTTTGTCGTATCATCTAGTGCAAGGTTAAGGAGACTCTTGGCATAACTTTTTTCACTGCCAAATTTTTGTACTATTTACACCACAGCTAAATGTTGGTGAATAAACGTAAGCAGTTAACTTTAGCTCTTTCTACCATTAAGACGATGATTTAAAGTCACATGATGCTACTGAATACTGATGTAGAGAATATAGTGTGTGACAGATGGACAAACAAACACACGATCGATTTCATAATGGTTCCGCCTTTGCTTTTGTGTTACAGAAGTCGAAAATTATCGACCTATTATTTATGATTACTTCTTCACTAGGAGATAATAATGTCAATAATGTAATACTTGTCATTTTTCTAGTGTTTATAATTTATCAAAAGCCACAAAAATACAAGGGAGATCTACATAAAATAATATTATACTTAGTAATGCTCACAATGCTCATGTCTAAATTCATATTTCCTACCTACCTACAGATAATAAAATTGAAGTGCTTAAATTGAAGTTTTTTACTAAATGCATATTAAATTATATACCCTACGGCTCTTATAAAAAAAAACAATTTTAAAAATGTTTGTCAGTCTGTTCCGTCTAATCTTCCAAACGCGGGACTGATTTTGACAGGACTTTCACTGGCAGATGGCTGACATTATATGAAGTAACTTCTATTATAGAAAAAGAATTAGGATCCCGCTCAAAAAAATTAAAACGTACCTAACTATGGACGCACCCGAGCAAAGTGAGGGTAAGTAGCTAGTTTTAAATATAAAGATGATACAGGTTACATACCTTCTAAATTTATTTATAGATTCATAGTCCACCATAGAAATCAAACCAAAAAATACTGTCTTCAAATATCTTTTACCCACTCCTGTAAGCCTTCACTACAACACGTGGTTTTATTAACTGGTTTTATGGTTATACGCAACTTCATTAAGGATCATAAAAATAATTAGATAAGTAGTTTCATTATGATGTTAAGAATATGTAGATCAACTCTACAAGTCGCTTTTCTGATTAATATAAACTATAAAGGATTGTCTATTTAATATTTTAAAATAGGATAGTTTTTTTTTAATTCAACAAATTAAATTTTAATTTTTCTTAACAATTATCTTGATCGTAAAATAATAGCTATCTTTATTATTATCATTAACGTAATTATATTTACGAGTACATACTAGCAATTTACCTCCGTGCGCGGATTTTGTTCATAATTTCATGGGTTTTTTTCTTACTTTTTGGGCGGAACCCTAATTTTTTTTCTATAAGAAAGTTAAGTCTCGTTAAAATCATTCCAGCCGTTTCGAAAATTAGCCAGAACGAATAAACAGACTGTTTAGATAGTCAAAAATTTTAAAAATTGTTTTTTTTTCTTATTAGTGCCGTATACACTTTCATGTGCAATTAGTAAAACGCTATTATTTTGACATTGCAAACAGACACTTCAATTTTATTTATTTGTATAGGATACCGAGACTCGTGTTAGTAGCTACATTTATGTAATCTATATTACCTGGTGCGGGGGTTGCGAGCCAGGCGGCAAGTGTGGCGGGTGTTGCGAGTCCTGCGTAGGAGATAGGCCTCCCGCGCTCTGCGCTGTGCCGGGACTTGGCGCGCCTGGAGGATGCGTGGGAGGCTGTGGTGAGCCGCCACGCTCGTAGCCCTGGGAAATTAACATATTATAATATAATATTTTCATTTAGATACATTGAAAGTAAAGTAGCAGTAGTAAATAAGTTCTCGTTGAGTCGAATCTCTACATTACATTTTTTTTGGAAAATCTTAATGAAATAGTCATTATTATCGATGCAGATGCTGAACCCATAGTTTTTAGATTTTTTGACTTTCTGATAATTCATAACGAGAAAACCACTGGACAGATTTTGATGAAATTTGACACGATGATATCTGGGTATCCGGGACAACAAATAGGATACTCTATGAGAAAATATATCATCTCTAAGAAATCTGTAGTCTGCACTAAGCGTTAAAAAGTTCCTAAGGACGAACCCGAGCGGAACAAGAGTCAGTCGCTAGTACATAAATAAGTTATACATATGACTTAACTAGCTTATTCTTTACATTAATAAACATATAGTAGTAGAAGTCAAACTCGTATAATAAAATCTATAACAGTCAGTTTTCTATTACTGCTAAGAATTAATAACTATTTGTCACCGTTTTAAAATATTTTAAAACTCACTTCAATAAAAACTTGGGAGTTTAAATACTTCAAACAATTTAAACAATTCAGAGTAATCGCCTGCATTTAAACACGTCCCCGTCGGTTCAAAGTAGCAAATATGAAACGAATATACAGTATGTTCATAAATTGAGTTAATCTTATTTATGAAGTTATGCCATTGAAATATATCCATTGAATTAAGTAATACTATGAATACAGTCATCAATCGTGAGATTTCATTTATATATTTACTTTAATAATATATTCATGCTTAAATCTCGAGTGTTTATGTCCCCATATAACATGGATAAAGGTTAATAATTACGAGTATATTCTCATTTTTGCGATCTTAATAATATGTAATTAATAGAACAGCTTTTGTAAGGTATGATAAAAATATTGTTGCTTTTATAATAGGGTTTATATTTTTATATGTACATAAATAACTTAAATTACTCTCTCGCTTCGTATACATTATATATATAACAAAACGTCTAATTTTAGTTGAGGTCATAATATTATTATTTATTACTCTATTCTTATACGATGTTTTATAGTTAGTACTCATAGTCATAACAAACAAACACTATTAATAAGCAAACTTGAACTTATATTTAGGACACGGTTAACAGGCAAGACAGAAGTTAATATGTAACTACATATGTACAGTGTTTTGAATATATTGGATGACGTCCAACGAACTGGCTTGATCGTTTGTAAGTAAACAGTTATTGCTTGCCTTAGTATTTCGACGTCAACATATAAATAAAATACAAGTACAACAACAACGATGCGTTATAAAATATTAATCGTCAGGAGTAACTTGAATTCTATGTCCAAGAAGTACAAGCTATGATGTCACAGATTTGCTTACAATTCAGTGTATCACACTTATTTCTAAGTTGTACACCCTATGCCAATAACATCTCTTCATATTTAACTCAAACTAGATATAAATCAAGGTCATTGAAACAATCTATAATATAAAAATGAATCGCTGAATGTGTTGGTAAGCGCAAATATCGAGAGCAACTGAACCGATTTCGCTAATTCAATTTTTAGAATATTCCTTGAAGTACGAGGATGGTCCTTACGGAGAGAAAAATTTAAAAAAATGCCTGAAAAAGTCTAAAAACAACACTTTTCTATACTCCCATACAAAAGATTCGTAATAATACTTAAGTCAATTTGAACTTTAATACTATACTATAAAGTTTAAGTGCTAGTGGAGAGGTTCCGGGAAGGCAAAACAATTGAGTGACGTTAGTATCGTATAAATATTAATATCAATATTTGTCAATATTATTAACAAAAAAAAATATGACTAACGCTGGCTAATAACTATTTATATCTATTTAAAACGTACCTAGCGACAAACCCGAGTGAAGCGAGGGTGAGCCGCTAGTATTCTTATATAAATATGTAAAGAATAAAAAAATACTTGTATATAATTCAGTTAATCTTACGACGCTAACAATATGGTAGAAACAATTGAGCACGTGGCGCTGAGGCCTTGACCGTGCGCCCATTATGCAGTTTACTTGCGAATAAGTGCATTACATCTATGCATCTAGCCACGTGATATAAATAGCTTAACCCGCTAGCCCCATTGACTGCGAAACAATTGTACCGCTCATTGTTTTGCATCCCGCGGATATTTCCTCAATGTAGAGATGCCACAATAATGAAATTTAAGTTGTGCTATTTTCTTGATAATAATATGTATGAATTACATATTGAAATAATCAATAATACTTTTTTATTCGTATGAATAAAGGAAATTACCTACCATATTTATTACTAACAAAAACAAATCTATCCCACCCATTTTCCGGGATGAAAGGTAGCCTATTTGTTATTCTGATGTATGAACTATATTATTGTAAGGTTTAATTAAAATCCATTCAATCGTTTGTGTACTAAGCTGTATAAGTTACTAAAGTTTTTTAACTATCCCACGGGAACTCTTTAATTTTCCGGGATGAAAAGTATCTAAAAAAATTAAAAAATCTGGATTTGTTCTATTTCTCTTATTACATCCCCCTGCCTCTGTGTTTAGCATTTTTTTCCTATGTACAGACATTCGACCTCTACAATTTTATTATATATGTACATATTATATTTTAATTTCATAAAAAGTAACAAATTTCAGAACCAAGTCGTATATTACCCCCTTGTAAACCTATTTTCAAACAATATTAAGCTTGTGCAAGTCATTGACGAGGTACGATCTTTGCAATCGTCTGTCGCAAAGGTTAATTCGTGATGATGCTTCACAGCACGTCTGAATTGCCTGCCTACACGTGTTTATTGAGGGAAGGGGAACATGTCATATGAATGCAATACCTATGCAGATTTTGCCATGCGTCTAATTGCAAAACAATTTTATTTCTAGCTCGTCATATCAAAGCGAATCCGCTGCCATTTGTTGTTTGTATGATTTTAATCACCTACAAATCCGTGCAAATATAATTGAATACGGTTCATTCAATACACATTTATTACCGTCGAGACGTCCTCGACACAGTTCTCGCAGACTTATTGCGTTAATCGTTCGATGCTTTCACTCCACAACTGCTTTCTGCGTCACGTTTCTAGGATGTAAACACTACACTCTATCTATCTATACTTCTATACAAAACCGGTATAGTATCAGCTGAATTTCATTTTACGAAGCCAAACAGTAGGTACTCACCTTGACAAACAAAACTTTATAAAATCGAATTCATGTTGCCAAGAATGTGAGGTATTTTTAAAAATGTATTACGCTAAGACGTTTTTTACGTTATAAAAAAACTCGTTGTCAAGATAAATCAGTGGTAAAAATATAATTTATATTTATTCGATGGGCCACGCGAAAGCTAGATTAACGCGTCAAAGTAGATAACGTCACCCCGATATTTTACAAGTCAAAGTCAAGGACGAGATGAGTCATTTACTTTTTGTGTTTTCCCTTATTCCAACGACGATAATTGATTATGAAACATTACGAGTTCACGACCTTTGTTATGTCACAGCTAATAGTCAATTATTGAGTCATCATGATATCTATGCTATCGCTGTGTAGTCTATAAATAATAATGATTATGATAAGAATATGTAAAACTGTTGCTATGTAAATATTGAATAATTTATATATCATACTAAAGTATACAATACTGTGTACAGACTGTGAACTAACTGTATTATTATGAATATTTACCTACTACTAATATATTTGTTGTACGTTTTTTTTACTCGTAGATAAAAATAATAATTCATAAGTAAAGCCGCGTCACATTAAACTACCAAGTGATTATAAGATATTGAAATTCGATTCGAAGCAATCTTTTAATCAGCTTAGAGAGGATCGCACGTTATACACTGAGCGAGGACCGCCCGAGGGGCTATCGCTATGTAATTAGATACTCGGCGCCATGTTCGTCAGTAAAACCAAAACCTATTCATTACTTATCCATCCATACATAGATAGCTCGGCGTAAAATCGATGCAACAATAGTAAATACGAGAATCGCTACAAGATAGGTACCCCGGCACATTGTTTACTGTCTTGTGGATACGTAAACGGCAGTAGAAAGGTAATAAAAGATTGTATCGCATCGTAATCTGCAGATTGAACCTTTACGAGTATTATTTAACAATCGTGTCACTGGAATAGCTTTGAAGGAGTGAGGGCGGGAGGGAGTTGAGGGTGGTAGGTGGCACGACCAAAACAAAATACAAAGAATACCAAGAACTTTCACTGAATAATAATTCGGGGGTAAAAGTTTGCCGCTATGAGGTAGCAGGAAATCGGGACTAACGCCTGGTGGTGGAGTTTGGCTGTGTTTCAGTCGAACCATCCGCGCCGGTCGCCAACCAATCCATCAAAGGAGGGTGACTGGATCGGGTGTGGGTATCCTCCCCCGTACCCACATAAATATTGCGGGTAGGTGAGTATAAACCCTTTGACCGAGTTCTGTTTTACTTTCATTTTCACTCAGCTGACGAGGCCGCCACCCTGCCTATTCAACTCCACTATTATTATGATAATTAGAAGGTTATTAACTTTATAACCCACTAATTGAAAAGTATAAACTCGTACGATGTAATGCTCTATCTACGTGCCTCACAATAACGAAATAGAGAATAAATTTCGCAATATGTTTACCGCGGCTTTCATAACACCATTCAACTTAGCTATGTATTAGTGTTAATGGTATAATTATACTATTTGGGAATCTGTTAGGCGTATGAATCGACGCCTTTGTGAATGCTTAAAATGAAGTGCGTATGAAAATGATAAGTTTTGTACAACATTTGAGGGCCTAAGGAAAGAGAAACGAGGGGTTTGTCCCAGAGAGTACTCAAGGTTGCAACGGGTTCGGACGCGGCAGACAGGGCGCAGACGTGCATTATTAGGTGGGTGCCGGAACACCCGCGGGAGCGGTGGGCGGTTGTGGGGTGCGCGTATCGTACGTCATCACCTGAGGCGCGCCCTTGAAAACGTCGTCGCATTCATTGCACTCGGATGCGGCCCGGATCCTCAGCCCGCGATACTCACTCTCAAGATCTGCTTAACTACCTAACCCCACCCTAAAGACAAAGCAAGATTAAATCATCTATACATATAATAAAATTGTAACGAAGCCGAATCTATACATTAAATATTTTTTGTAAAATCTGATCGAAATAAACATTATTAATTATTATATAGATACAGAGGCGGAATCTATAGCTTTTACAATTTTTATCTGTCTGTCTGTTATCGCATCACAGAATAACTACTGGAGGGATTTTGATGAAATTTGGTAGGGTGATAGCTGGATATCCGGGTTAACATATAGGACACTTTTTATCGCGGGAAAATGTCTCCTTTCTGAGAAAAAATACAAAAACTGTAATGTTAGAATATACTAATACGTAAAACCTAAGAATTTGGTTTTTGGTCATCCGAACGGAGCCGCGGGCAATGCTAGTCATCTTAATAAATTTGCTTATAAAATACAAAAAAACGCAGAAACTTAATGCAAATCAGACTGACTGCTATCAGGAGTTGATAGATTTGAAAATGTGTCCAATTTAAAAGTTTAATTGTAAACTACGAAGGAAAAAATAAAAAATATTTAATACGAGCCTAGCCTTCGGGTTCGTTCGTGTGAAATTAATCTTATATTGATACTTTTAATTATTGATTTCCTTTGGCTAACTCACTACCAACGTCCATTAATGTCAGCATATACATCTATATATTAATGTATCTTATATAAAAATGAATCCCTATTTCCCTTGGTCACGCCATGACGCGTGAACGGCTGGACCGATTTAACTATTTATTTTGTTGTGTTTGTTATTGTCAGGAGAAGGTTCTTATGAAAAAAAAAATTAAAAAAATGCGCGGAAAATTATAAAATTTAAGAATACTTATTTAAGAATACTTAACAGCCATATTAAAATTTATATGGCTAACGCTGGGTAATAACTATTTATATATATTCAAAACGTATCGTATTCGAAGCGAGGGTGAGCCGCTAGTACTTACATAAATTACACTGTTTGTTTACCTAGTTAAGAACACAATCGCAAGTGATACATACGGTTTGAAAGCTGAACAATACGAGTATAGGCTGTCCATAACGGCTAACAGATAGATAGCCCCTAACGTAGAAGTGGGGTGGTCGCTGTCTATAAATCTAATGTCATTAGATTCGTGCTATCCGACTCTTTTCTCTGTCACAGACTTTCACGTCAATTTATTTGGTCTGAGCGATGGTAAATCAATCAGCAAATTTATTTTATAAACGTGAGTAGAAATATGTACAAACAACATAAAACAAATTTATTATCATAATTGTTATACAGGATCATTTTTAATTTACTGAAAACCTTTTGGGAATATACTATTTATATCAAAACAACAACATCTGTAACAAGAAAAAATAATATTTCTTAAATTTTTATTTTCATACAAAAAAAAATTTTTTTAAACCTTCTAAACTTTAAAATTCTAGCATCTGGCCAAGTTTAAATTTATATCTTTAAAAATAAAAAATATCTGCATCCCTTAGAGCCGCAACGCCTCAATCGTGACAGGTTAGCAGGCGCGTGCGTAGCTTGTGAAATGACATTTACTTTAAATATTAGTAATAGTTTTGATAAAAGTTGAAAATAGTAGAGCAGGATGTAGTTTAAAGCAATAAGAAAATAACGGGACTCTAGATACGAAAAAGATTACAACTTACACTAATTCTATAAATATAAATCCAATCTTACATACCGCATATATTACTTATTCATAGGGTATAAAATAGTTTTACGTAGGTATAAAGCTGTATAACCTAGCTTAGTATAAAATGTTAAAGGCTAAAGTATTTACTTTCCATGTCAATACTAAAACAAGACTAATAGTAGGGATTTAAAATTAGTGCATAATATATAGGTACCTGTGAAAATTTCAACTACTACCTATTACAGTTTATGAGTTACATACAGCCCTCTAACTGACGGACGGACGGACGGACAGCGGAGGCATAGTGGGAGGTTTCCGTTGGCACCCTTCGGGTACGGAACCCTAAAAACCGGAGAGCAGTTTTCTTTTATATATAAAGAGGAAATAAATTCTATTCATATATGTTTTCCTCTACAATTGGTACCTAATGGTCAAATTTCGACCACCAGTTATAATAAATACATCGAACGCGCGCTCTACTTATCCTTAAATTCTATAAATCCCAGTCTTAATTTGTGTGATAAAATGTATTAAGTACGTTTATCGAAATCCGAACAAGAATAAACTTTCTGTAAGGTTATAAATGTATATTCTATTTCTTATTCGGCGCGTGGCTCTTCCTTTCAATTAAATAAAAAAATATTGTACAACTACTATGTACAACTGCTTATAATAAATTTACGTCGTAGTTTCGCCATTCAGTGTTTTTGCACCACAAAAAACTGTTGTATATCTTCAAAGAACCCTATTCTAGATGAATGTAGTATTTTTATAAAATATTATAATATATAACTAATCAAATTCTAAGCAGGCAGAAAAAAAATCCGACGCAGTGACATTTTAATTTTATTTGTACATACATAGATTGTTTTGATAATAAAATTAATCCTTTTATGTCAGCCTATAATGAAAATGCTGAGCTGCAAACTATCTATAAGGTAAGATGTGTGTGTAATGCTTAGTTTAAATCGAAACAGAATTCATTCGACTTAGTAGACTCGTCTTCTTTGTATTATGTGACCATAAAAATTGTCATCATCATAACGCAAAATCCTTAGTTCCTTCACCGATTTGATTACCGGAAAAAAGTATCTTGTAATAATTATCTCATTTACTACAAATTACAGTAATAATTTAATAAACAAATGAACAAATAAAAACTTAAAAAAAAATCGACTTCCAGGCACTAAAATGTAAAAAATAACTAAACGGAGGTATTTATTTAGAATAGATACCTAATCAGATACTTTCGAAGTCGGTGCTAGCCGACAATATTTTAAGATATGAACATCTAATAGGTAAATATATATTTTACGTATCGAAATATATTAGATTTGCTTCGCATCGGCTGGCACCGACTTCGAACATATCTGATTAGGTATCTATTCTAAATGAAAACCTCCGTTTAGTTATTTTTTACATTTTAGTGCCTGGAAGTCGGTTATTTTTTAAGTTTTTTTACAATTTAGAGAGAGTATTAATGAATATAACTAATGATAGAAAAATAGTGTTTAATTAACTGCAGGTGTATAGTTAAAGTAAGTACTTATTTTAGCAAGCCTTTATTAACCACACATGAAACCTTGTGAGCATGCGAAACCATCGAACATCATATAAAAACATCGAACCAGGAGATAGAAATAAAAATTCTTCAATAGCTTTTAGTGAAACCTTAAAACTTGGCTTTATTTTTTAACGAGTCCTATATGTACTTATAGTCGACACGTCTTTTTATTAGTTCTTTGAGCTATAATTATTAAATCCAATTAGCTTAATTAATTAGAGTAACTATTTATAAAAATAATAACAAGAAACATGAACTTTAATTTTGTTAGCTCTTTATGTGTAAGCGTGCCCAGCAGTGGGGCATTATACGTTACAAATCTATACATACAATAAAATTGTAACTAAGTCGAATCTGTACATTAAATATTTTTTGGAAAATCTTATTGAAATAAACATTATTATCGATACAGAGGCCGAATCTATAGTTTTTAGAATTTTTGTCTGTCTGTCTGTCTATCTGTTACCGCATCACGGGAAAACCACTGGAGGGATTTTGACGAAATTTGGTATGGTCATAGCTGATTATCCGGGTCAACATATAGGATACTTTTTACCGCGGAAAAATATCTCATTTCTGAGAAAAAATACAAAAACTGTTATGTAAGAGTATATTAATATGTAAAACCTAAGAATTTGGTTTTTGATCATCTAAACGCGGGCGGAGCCGCGGGCAATGCTAGTCATAATATAAAAATATTAAATAATGTGGCTGGGGCCTAACAAGACGGTGGTAATATAATTGTCCACTTCTTACTAATAAGTAATAGGTATTTTACCTATCACATTATAAGAATTGTAGGTCTCGCGCTGCAGAGCGAGAAGGTCGATAACGCAAAGTATAGGTACAAGTAATGATAGTATGGCATTAAGATGGTCGTTAGTACTTAAAGCTATTTGCCCACTAGCTATGGTTTCAAAACGACCTTGCGCATTGTCGGTACATTTCTTAACACCGATTTCTAAGCGAGTTCGCTCCAACAGCCCTGCTTCAAAACGTACCTCGGGCTTCGTTGCACAACGAGCTTACGTCAGCAAGCGCGCAGAGTGGCTTACGTCATTCTAGCGTGATTTATTCAAGCCAAGATAGGCCTTATACATGTGGCAATAAAGGCGTAGTTTCTATAGCGAGACTACAAGTATGATAGAGCGTTTATGTTCACGTGAGTGGATGAGGCTGCGACGCGCCGCCGCGCCGCCGGCTCAACGATTCTGAGAAGCGTTCGAGGCTCTCTAGTTTCGGACTTGAATATGAATCGTGTAATACGACGTCTATGAAGAGTATTTTAAGAGCGATCTTTAGATTTTTATTCCTCAGGCAAGAGTAACTTACGAGTACGAGAAGTAAACGAGAGTAACTTATAACTTGAAAATATAATATCTTTATAACATGTACTAAAAGAATAATATTTTTTTTAAATAAAATATTAACATTATCTATACTATAAAGTACTTAATAATATAATTTTAATTTATAATAACATTAGCATATAACATTATATATAAATGTTATTAACATTACATTCTGTGCTATTTAATTACTTAAGAGTTCACTGTCCGTCGTTAACTCAAAATTATGTTAATATTATTAGTGGTGGGTAGCGTTAAACAAAATTATTTCCAGTGAAATAAATATTTTAAAAGAAAGTACATTAAATAACCAAAGTTCATATTAGTGTAATGCAGAATAGCTTTATATAAATATTTAAAGAAATCTTAATTAGAGCGATTAGAAAATGTTCATTTTGTTTTTTCAAAGGACATTATTACAACTGTCATGTCTTTTTTAATTATAATATCCACGCAAACGTCCATAATAGATTTTTCTTACGATCATTATGTTCAAATTATTTTGATTACGAATAAGAAAACATTAAACATAAACAGAAACAACAGAGCGACCGGAGGGTGATGAAATTGTGGTCTCTTGTAAAGTCCGGTTGAATAAAAGCTTTTAAAATCCGGTCAAGACCGGATTTATTAAGCCCGGCAATAACCTTCAATGTGGACCACATCATACTACAGAGAACATTTTGAACGATTCTAAAGTAAATATAGAAGGTACATGTTTATAGAAAATATTCATTTATGATGTGGAATACAGCGAATATTTTAATATTAGGTGACAGTCGGCTCGTATCTCGACATTTACTTTTGTTGGCGTAAAGGTTTACGCTGTATCAATTTGCAAAAAATATTAAATTGTATATTTTTTGAAGACAGATCATTACAGAAACTTTTATTAAACAATAGAACTTTGTTTTTATTATTCACGAGCAGTTAAGTATAAGGGCCAAGACCAGGATTCTTATTTACATTTTAATCACTATAACAGACTTACCTGGTGCGGAGAGAAAGGTGGCCGTGAGTTAGGTGCGCCCGGATGGCCCGGCGGTGGCGGATACCTGGGCGGGTAAGACCCCGGCGGACCGTACGCCCCTGGCGGCTGCTGCGGACCGCCGGGGGCACCAGCGCCGTACGGCGGTCCACCATACCCTCGCGGTGGCTGGAAACAATACAAGTCTTTATAGATATAAATGTCACATTATATTCTACCATTACATTGAACAAAAAATGAAAATCTTTTTATGGCCCATAACTTTAGTGGGATACATTCTTCTCTAACATCAATATTTATCGCAATATACGCGAAAAACATTTAAAAAAACGATCTATGTATCTCCTACTATTATTAGTTGTCATTTGACACTAAGTAATTGAACTAGCTGGAGCACCCGGCTTCGCTTAGGGAGTTCATATGAAATTGTGTAGTGGTTGAAATAAAATAATATAAAATGGAATAATAATATAACAAACTTTTAAGTATAAGAGATTTTTTTTTATTGAAAGCATATTCTAACTACATATTTACAACAACACGTGTTTATAAACAACATTTCTCATTTTTTTATCTGGGGTATATAATATGCAAATTTTTTGAATTTCCTACTCGTGAGCAAGCTACGTATTATAATAGACCGTGAGAAAAGCAAAGAGGCTTTGAGGTTGATGCCGCAACGTTTTACGTTCGAACTCATGACTGGTTGCTATCAATAGGTAGCCCCATCCATAGAAAAAAGTTTCCATAATCTTTCAGAACATTCTACAGCATTCGAGTGTTCTAGAATATTCCACAATGATCTGGAATGTTCCAGGATGTTCACCATTCCACGACATTCCAGATTGTCTCGAACCCTCTCGAATGTTCTGGGTTGTTCTAGAATTTTCTAGATGGCGAAACCTCTAAGAAATTAATCTTCAAAAGCACGCTCTTTAGGTAAAAACATTACCGAGACTCGTTTCTGAGTTTTAGCGGCAAGCACAATGTACACTTTCTTTTAACACCTCCATGTAAATTTCTAAGAAATTAATTAAAATTCTAAGAAATATATTGTTAACTGACACGCCGCCGGCGTGGCCGCGGCCGTGGAGGGATTCAAATTAAATATTATTAAAAATATCCGAAATTGGGAAATTAAATTTAACTTTTCAGGTACAACTGTATGGCGTTTCTGAAGCGTTTTTTTCTGGGAGTTGATAAAGAATTAGTACTTGATATATCATCGTGTCGTCCCTACACTCTACCCTACAAACCGATAAAGGAATGTTGGCTGATTTGTTTGAATGTTCGTTAAATTATACCGTTTAGATTACGTTCAGTAAAATTAAGTATTTAAAATATAAATGTCGTACACATGTACTTTAGCATCATAAATTCAACCAGTAATTTAAGAAAAGGCAATAATTATAATGTAAGTAGTTCCTAATAAAAAGTTACTAATAATAAATATTACATTCATGTCAAAATACATGGGTAATCTACACATATAATAAAATTGTAACTAAGCCGAATCTGTACATTAAATATTTTTTGGAAATCTTATTGCAATAAGCATTATTTTCGATTCAGAGGTCGAATCTATAGTTTTTAAAATTTTTGGTCTATTACCGCATCACAGAAAAACCAATGGAGGGATTTTGATGAAATTTGGTATGGTGATAGCTGTTTATCCGGGTCAACATATAAGATACTTTTTACCGCGGGAAAATATCTCATTTCTAAAAACATTTGTAAAACCTAAGAATTTGGTTTTTGATCATGTGAACGCGGTCGGAGCCGCGGGCAATGCTAGTTTGATATAAATGATTGCATATTATATTATACATATAATTAGTCATTAATTATTGGCACCATGTTACTTATTATTAATTATTTATTTAAGTCATTTTGCTTAAACTTTAAATTATTTTCCTAAAAATTAATACAATAGGTAAGTACGAATACTATTTTATTAAAGAAAAAAATGCTCATATTAAATCATTTCAACTTATTTGTAACTATGAAAATAAGCTCTTTTAGCATAAAATTAATTTTCAGTCAGATATCGCATCTAAATAATTGACAGCAAAGTAATTCGCTGTGCCAACAATGCCGCCCGTTTCAGTTTTCAGCCCTCATTTTGTTCTATGATGAAAATTCAATTATTCCGTACGAGCTCCGCTTCGAGGCAAACGAGTGCCGAGAATCGGTCGGTACCCTTTGATCGAATGTTTTACATCTCGAAAGGACGGCCCGATACCGAAGGCTACAGTGCTATCGGGACCGGCAGATATGAGGAGTTTGTCCGCCAATTAGACTTACATTTTTACGAACATCAGGGTGTTTTATGGAGGATTCTATGATTTATGAGGGCGGTGTGTCGTCGGGGTGCGGTATGAGGGGTGGCGTGAGGGTTGCGTGCGGTGCGGGCGCGGGCGGGGCGCGGCGGGCGGCGGCGCGCTATTGGCGGACACTGCATCGATCGCGGCCCGCCCGCGCCAGCCAGCCTCCACCTACGTTAATAAGTAATCATCCGACCCCGCGATACCTCAGCGAGTTTTCCGGACAGAGCTGGAACCACTGAGACAGGCCTCGTATCTCCAGTCGGTCGGAACAAAGAGCCACCGCACAGGGCGACATCCGTATTGATTTATGCAGTAATTGACCCGCGGGTAGGTGCGCAGCCCGCGCATACCTCCGCCTGCTACGCACCTATATTGCCTCTACACGCACCCATATCAATTTTATGAAAGAGAACAATGCATTTCGATCAATGTAACGCTATACGAATTTATTGACCTATTTCGATATGAAACGAGCACCTTTGGATAATCGGTTTGCTTAAGTAACTTAGACATAATAAACTGTTATTGTTTTAGTTTATAATCTAAGAATAAATTAAACGAGAAGTAGCAATGACCTATTGCCTCAGAGCAAAGGCTTCTTAAGAGACTCGTAAAAGTTTGTTTAATGGGTCGGACGAATTTGTTAGGTTTCGAGATCAGAAGGGGAGGTTTTATAGATATTTCTTGTATAAAAATATTTTAAATTATTGCACGTAATAAGTATTAAGGTATTATCTTAATGGTATTTTTGTCTGTAGATGATATAGTAACGACCACCTGGAATAGCCCAATGCACAAAATGCTACAAAGCGTCCGTGTACAACATGGACCGTAATATAACTCTATACATACACAATCAATATTGGGAAGTGTGCACAGTACCCGGTGAGGATCAAAGTTTACCAGAGTGTACTAACTAATACAAACCTTAGTACTATAATATACAAAAGCAACTCGTATAAATTCATAACGTTTTTATAGTAGGTAATGTAATCCTAGATCATATAATTATATACAACTAGCATTGCCCGCGGTTGCGCCCGCGGTCAGAAGACCAAAAACTAAATTCTTAGGTTTTACATATTAATATTCTCTTACGGTGCAGTTTTTGTATTTTCTCAGAAATGACATATTTTCCCGCGGTAAAAATTATCCTATATGTGAACCCGAATAACCAGCTATCATCATACCAAATTTCATCAAAATGTCCAGTGGTTTTCTCGTGATGCGGTAACAGACAGACAGACACAAAAATTCTAAAAAATATCAATTCGAACTGTGTATCGATAATAATATCTATTTCAATTAAATTAAAAAATATTTAATGTACAGATTCGACTTAGTTACAGTTTTATTATATGTATAGATTGTTTTCATATCCGAATTTTTACTTAAATAGGTATACGAAAAGTATTGTTAAGTTGTCTTCAATCCTAAAAATGATATAATTACCCAATGAACATTACCTAAATCCATTTAACCAAAGCTTAATTTAGGTACTGTTAACTGTACATGAATGAAGTCGGTAGGCGCGAGGCAGGCATATTTAATTAGATACAATATTCTGGGTCGTCGCAACTGCATTGCATCAAACGCGAGTAGTGCAAGTGCAAACCGTTAGGAATGCGACCGGATTCCGGCCGGCCGGCACGGCGTCACTTGCATCACTATTATGTCATTAACAAGCATAATAAACTAGATATCTGATATTATAAACTGTCATTAAATAAACGGTAATAGAAGTTTATTTTTGCATTATAGTTAAAACTAGCAGATGCCGCGTCTTCGCTCACGCTAAAACTACAAAAAAAAGTCTTTGGCTTACCTAATGCAAAGGCATTTTTCTAATGGGCTCAATAGTTTCTGAGCCTAAAGCACTTAAATATATTATAAACATCAGTTTTACTATAATTTATATATATTATATTAATATAAATATATTATAATAGAAGTCTACCAGATTAGTTGACATTTACAATTACTGCTCCGATCCCTTGGATAGTAGCATGATGATATATATAGCCTACTAACATTGCCCGCGGCTCCGCCCGCGTTCAGATGACCAAAAACCAAATTCTTAGGTTTTACATATTAGTATACTCTTATAGTGCAGTTTTTGTATTTTTTCTCAAAAATGAGATATTTTCCCGCGGTAAAAAGTATCCTATATGTTGACCCGGATAACCAGCTATCATCACACCAAATTTCATCAAAATCTGTCCAGTGGTTTTCTCGTGATGCGGTAACAGACAGAGACACAAAATTTTTAAAAACTCTAGATTCGGACTCTGTATCGATAATAATGTATTTCAATTAGATTTTTCAAAAAATATTTAATGTACAGATTCGACTTAGTTACAATTTTATTATATGTATAGATATAGCCTTCGTCAATAAACGAGTTCTCAAATGCAAAAAGAATTCTTGAAATCGATCCTGAGATTAGCGCGTTCAAACAAACTTTGCCTCTTTATAATCTAATCTATACTAATATTATAAAGAGATAGTTTGTGACGTTGTAGGGGGTAGTCTCTGGATCTACTGAACCGATTTAGATGAAATTTGGTAAGAAGATAGTTTGAGACCCTAGGAAAGACATAAGATACTTTTTATCCCCGATATCATCCCTTAAAGGGGTAAAAATGGGAATGAAAGTTTGTATGGGGAATCAAGCCAGGGACGAACCCGAGCGAAGCGAGGGTGTGTAGCTAGTATATAAATATCTCGTGTCAAGGTGTTTGTGGTTGCACTCCTCCGAAACGGCTCGACCGATTTTTATGATTTTTTTTGTATATTTAGTAGGTATGAGAATAGCTCGTAAACTATTTTTCACCCTCCTAC